CCTGGCATTTAGCAGCAGCAACCTGAGACCAGGGCCCTGACATCTCTTGCCACCTGGTCATTGGGTTGAGTCTTCAGGGCAGGAACGAGGGATCGCTGTAACATAGCGAGCCTTCCTTCCCTGGTAATGGCCAGCCCTGAAACTCCCATCGTACCTGCCTCTCCCAAATGTGAATGGGATGCTCCGGCCCATCCCTGATTTCGTAGACCCCTCCTCCCCTCCCACAGCCCCCGATCTCCTCAGCAGGCCATTTACCCCATGGACTCCGGACCGAGAAGCGGGTCCAGGCCCCCACCCACTTCTGCTTCTGCACTCGGGGGGGGGGGGCACCAGGCCGCATTCTCGGTCCACTCATATATGCTAAACAGTCATTCCCAGCATGCATACCCCACTATAGCACTAAAAGTATAAATTACAGTTACAGAGCAAAAATGTTAAAAATTGGTTTAAAAAGTGGGATCATTCATTAGCATGCATACCACAAGCATTCCACATACAAGAGCAGTTCGTGTGATGTTAGGAGTTGTGCAAGTAGTTCTTAGCATTTGAGATGGTTAAAATGGTTGAAACCCAGCAATGAAACCCAACCCACAGGAGGGTGTCTCGTTTCCCACTTTCCTGTAGGCCAGGGAAGGTCCAAAGAGTCCAGAGCGGTTGAGGGGTGGCAGAGGGCCTTCCTAAATTCTGGGAGTACCCCCACTCATCCAAAGTCCAAGGCCCCGTAATGGGTGGAATTAAACAAGTGCTGTCCAAGATGGTATTCCAGGGGCAGTCGCAGGTAGTGATGGTGAAAGCAACTGGGGCTGAGGCAGCAAGTCCAGAGGGCCTGGGATTACGTTTAAAGGAGGCTGGATGTTCAGAAGCCCAGATGGAAAAGAGCCAAATGACAAGCAGGGGGGATAGAAGAAGGCTCCACAGCAGCGATGGTGGGCTGAAGGAGGGAAGGGAAGAAGTCCAATCAAGCAACAAATGGAAGAGAAAGGAGGCAGCGTTGATGCAAAGGCCGAGCCAAACAGAGAGGGGGGGGGAAGGGGCTTCTGGAAGGGCCATGGTGGTAGCAAATGTAGCCAGCCGTCCAATTCACCCGACCTCGGCGGGCGCACAGGTCATTCTCCCCCCCTCAGGGGTGGTGGCAATCCAAAAAGGTCCCCAGGGGCTCAACAAGCCAGGCGGGCAAAGTCAAAAGACATTGCAGGCACCGAGAGTCAGTAAAAAATGCCGCTATCGCCCGCACACAGCCGCCAACAAGCGGCATAGAACGTTTAAAAACCGCTGAGAGTTGCGAGACCTGAGATCGTCCGGGAGTGATGACCTCCTCAGCAAACTGGCCTTTTCAGGTCCCCTGGATCTCAATCATCCCCGGGGACCTCTCCGAAGGATTATGTTGCCTGTTTGTAAGGTTTCCCAGCATTTTTTCCATCAGCTTAAAACGGAGCGGAAAGCGAAGCGGACATTCCAAACTCGCACATGCGAAATCCAGGCAGTTCAAATGTGCATAAAGTTTTGTTGTAAGCTTCAGTGAAATGTTACTCTTGCTGTTCGATAAATAACCAGTTGAATGAAGTGAGAAAATTCACATCACTGCCTGCGGTTTATTAAAGGAGACATAACATTTTCCAGACTCCTACATCTTCTTTAAGAAACTGAATCCTTTAAGATACTAAAGCCCTTAAGGAATGACACCTCTTTTCAGGGTCATGCAGAAGCCTGAAAAAAGTCAGGCTGCTTTAATGCATATCAGAGAGATTCTGTGCTCATTCAAGATATGAAGCACCTCTTTTGAATAATTTTTAAAGTGTTCATAGCCTTAGCTGCCAACCCAAGAATCCTTAAGGAATTGATTGTAATCACAAAAACACTATGCTCGGGCTCTTGCATGGTAACTCCAGGCAATCAAGTAGTCTGAATGGGAAGATTTAGAGTGTGTTTCAGTGCTTGCTTTTTGATTGAAATTAACTTCCATAACTCTCCAGGAGATCCCTTTATGTCTTGCCTGAAGAAATTAAATACACTACTACTGCTTTGAGCGGGGTGTCTGATTTGCATGTTCCAGATATTTATTTCTACTTATCCTTTCAGTTATTGATACAGAAAAACTTAATGAGAGTAAATAACTCTCACACTGCCAGGTCGTTGTATGAATGTGTGCCAGGGGTGGGTTCCTGCCAGTTTTAACCTCTTCTATAGAAGAGGTTCCACAAATCTACAGAGCCATTTAGAACTGGTTCCAGCTCCCTCCCCTCCCCCTGCCCGTTCGCACATCATCAAGATGAAGAGCGAGAGGAGGAATTCTGGGGGTTGAAGTCCACAAGTCTTAAAGTTGTCAAGTTTGAACACCCCTGGGTTTTTTTTCTAAAAGGTTAGGGGTGCAAATGTCTTGTGACTTGACAGCTTTAAGACTTGAATGCTTCAAATGCCAGAGTTTCTGAGCCAACATTTTGGT